GGACTATTTATAATTATGTTGCAGGACTTATTTTCAAAGAGTTTACCTGACCAATCAATTGTCAGGCTTTATACACATGTTCTAAAATTAATGGCGTTTCTCCTGTTGCATCATTAATGCATGAGACACAGACTGTTTTGAAACTGAGTGAATAACTTTTTTCTGCAAAAAGGGAAGTTCCTGTGAACTGAAAAGTGTGTGTCATTGTGTATCAACATAGTAACTCCTTACTTGCTATCAGAGTATTGTCACACTACCAAAATGTCATGTTTTTCATACTTTCATCAGTTCAGAGTTGCAAATAAGTGTGAAAAGAAAGGAGGAGAACATATTAACAGTGTGATCTTATGGAGATGAAAACAACTGGGCTCAGCAAAATTAATCCCTAATATTTGGTTAAGGTTTTCTTTACCATGATGATTCCAATTAACAGTTTGTCAGATAAATACATCCATGAATACAAAATGACTTCATCACACCATTTTGTAAACATTGACCCCAGTCACACGAGAGGATTTGCCCCGTGAAATGGACGGGTTGAGGGCGCATCAAACGGGCGTGATCATACAGCAACATCCGGGAATGTTCCTGTCCCCGATCCGTCCCTTTGGCCCAAAAACGCGCATTGAAAAGGTTGCAACAGAGCACTACCTTCTGGATGACGCGTGGCAACTCCAGGCATCTGATCGGGGAAGCGCTGGTAGCCCGTTGCAGCCAGTGCCGTTCCCTGTCCCATGCATGTGTACAAACGCGCAACGTTCATTTTGCCGCGCTACATCTGATCACCAGCCGGAGCCACGGGAGCGCGTCAGATCGCGCTACCATGGTTCTTTTTGCTCCGGCTCTAATTTGCCTCCCTTCAGCAGCGCAGTATCTCGCTCGTGTGACCGGGACCATTGTACAGGTTTCAGAGTTTTCCTTTTTTTGTATGTATATTTCAAATAAATATTTAAATTCTGTTACTTGAAATTGTTATGCAGGAGTCTGTGGGTTTAAGAACTGGTATACAAAGGTTTAAGTACAACCAGGTAGGAGACTCCTTTTGGAATTTTTGGGGAGGCCATGAGAGATAAAGAAATTATAGAGACGATGCTTCTAGATGGGGGTGCAAAAACATGCCTCACTATGGCAGCAGTAGCAAGCAGCAGAGTATACCTTGGAATAGTGTCCACACAGAGACACCCATTCTCAGGCCACTCACTGCTGCTGCCACCTCTCATCCCACTCACATAAATACATGAGGCTGCCAACTGCCTCTGTAAATACAACCTCTCCGTTCATTGACTAAACACAGGGAGAGGTAAAGCGGGCATGAGCACATAGACCTTGATCCCACAAGAGGCAGTGTCCACACATATGCTGTCTCCCTGTGATGCTCTGACACTAAGCTATGGGCCTGTCCTCCCATGGCCCAATGCCCCCTTTCCCTCACTGACCTCACTAAGCTGTGCTGTAGCAGTAAAAAAAAAAGGAAAAATCTTTTAAAAATATTAAAAGGGAGAGGAATGGTGCATGGTCAATATTTAAAAAGCACTAATAGTTTCCCCCCCTCCATGTAGTGGTTGCAGAGGGAGTGTCCTCCCAGTCACATAAGGGACCAAATCTGGATTAGGAGCATGACTCACAGGGAGAAAGTGATTAAGCCTCTCCTTGTGCCATTTCTCCACCCAAAACAGCCCAAATGGGGTTAATTTGCTCTCTTTGGGACTCCATTTGTCGCAATGGGCTATGTATAGTTTTCCCCAATGGGACATATGGCATCCTTGGGGCCATTTCAGATGGGAAAATGGCATGAGTGGAAGACATAAGCACTCTCTCCCCTATCCAAATTGGGCCCATGCATCTGGGAACTGACATTGCTGCTGGAAACTTGCAGAACAGATCTGATAGAAGGTCCTTATGGCAGACCCAGATTTGACGTGAGTTCTGTGTTACATGGTAGCTGTAACTAGTGGCTCTTTAAGGCAAGTCAGTCAGATAACCCAGTCCCCATGAGCATCTGATTACCTCAGACTGGGTGGTCTCATGCAATGGTGCCTGGTGCTCATGAGACCCAAAATCTCCTTCAAAGAAGTTGTCATGTAATAATACTCTCTCTAAGAAACAATGAGGAATAGAAGTTGTTTCCTTCCCCGTCTCCAATTAATTAAAGAAGCTGGTCACAGCTGTTCTGTCTGAAACTTAATGGGGAATATTAATGACTTTTGAAAAGAAGCATCTGGTCCACCATTTTCGTTTGGCACTGATCACCAGGAAGGAAGCTTTGTTTCATTTAACCTGATTTTAAATTTATCTTGTCTTATGAATACATTTACCACATTCATCAAAAGCATACATTGGAGATCCCAACACAGACAAGTCTGGGGGGGCAGCTGAGATGGCAAACTCCAGAAGAAAGCAAGATGGGAACAGGTGACCCACTTAAAAGGTCTGGAGAAGCAAGATGAACTTTCAAATGAAAGCAGCACACATGTTTTTTGCTTTGCTTTCCACTTTTCTCGGACAAAATGTCCTTTAGTTGGACCTTCCTGGTTTAATGGGCAAACTGATTATTTTGCAGGAGGGGTCCCAGTCGTCCCCAAATACAGATCCTTAGCAGATTTGGTTGTTTGTTTGCATTATTTACGGTTCACCTTTCTCAATGAGACTCAAGGCGGATTACACAGCATGAGACAGTTTAAATCAATAGGATCAAATAAACAATACTGTAGAGATTTGGTTTGCAGAAATCTGCAAACAAACAGAAATCTGATAACAGAGCTGAAAACAAGTTGAACAAATGCATAAGTATTAACATGACACATTAAACAGTGCAGGAATTGTATAGTGGGATCATACTTATAGCAACAGACAGTACATATTAGACACTGTAGTACAGACCAGTGTCCGTATCCATTTACCAAAACATCTTTTATTACAGTAAAGTCCTACAACCTGTGTAAAGAAGTCCCCCTGAATAATTCAGTTTTGAAAGTCTCCGGAAAGCCAAGAGGGTGGTAGCCTTCCTGACTTCATCAGGCAGGCCATGACGTATTTTCCAGGCAGCATTTTCACCAGTTATTTAGTGCTTTTATTTAGTTTTTCAGGAAACAGGAAAACTGGGTATGAACTGAAGCCAAATTGGAGAGGGTTTTTTGGCCCTGGAACTAGACATTGAAACCCAAACAATGTTAATCTTTCAGATCCAGTTCTTTTCCATCATGGATAAAGTTTAAACAAGCCCTCCTACACAAGGTTAGAACCAGATGGTTTTATTTCCAGTGCAGAAAAAGCTTCTGCTGCCTCATGATATTTTTCCCGTCTAAAATATTTGAAATATGGTTTGAGTTGAAAAGATTCTAGAGGAAATTAGGTCAGGTTTTGTAAACTTGCTGTCCTGGAATAGACTGGGAAGTTATTTATCATAGCAGAAACCAGTTACTAATTTGAAATTGGGTTTAAAATGAACTCCATAGACACGTAATGTCTAGTGGTTAGCAGCGAATATGTGAAATTGGGCTGTTTTGATCCATGCCACTGCAGAGTATGATTAGAGGGTGTGTTCTGCTTGTAGACATAAAAATAAACTCTTAGGAGAGGGGGCATACTTTCCCCACAATGATACAATAGCCAAAGAAAATATTTCTGATGTAAAAAATGCTCCCAAAGCATGTGAGTTCAATTACTTTTCCTACACTTTCTTAATTAATAGGAATACCATATTCTGAAAAGCAAAACAGAGGACCTATTTCCCAACTGACTACTTCAAACAACTGATCACTATGACAAATTTCATTTGAAATACTCCTACTATTTAAGCTGAAGCTTGCCTCCACTGAGGGACTATAGGGCAAAACAGGCTCAGTCTCTCAACCCATTTAATCAGTTAATCGGTTTTTTTCAGAGTCCAAAAGAGGACAGACACCAAAAAAAAAAAAAGGACATCTCATAACAGTATCCAAATTCTGTGCCACACGTTTTTTGCACCACATAATCTGAGCCCTTGTAATGTTATGGAAGTTTTCTTCAAAGATCCAAAAGAGCAAAGTTCACCACTGGAAGTCATTCATTCCAGGTGCTTGTGGAATTTAATAAAAGCCATATCACTGTAGTAAAGTTTCATAACTGCTCAAAATAGGATTTATGATTGTGGCTCTAATGGTGCATGTCTGATGTATTTGAAAAATAGCCCTGGGTAATAAAGAATTTACATTTTATCTATTCTTTGAAAATAAATGCTGTGTAAGTTATTTTTCTTGCTACTTTTTCTAAACAGTTCTAAAATTTGTATTTCTTACAGGTTAACCAGAATTTTTTTGCAGGTACACATATTTAGTGCCTTTCTCCTACACTGAAGTTTGTCAGTACCTGTACCACAAACATATTAGTCATGCTTGTGTCTTGCAACAAAATGATTTGCCTTCTGATATGCTGATGGACATAATCTGAACTCTAAGCGTAGCAAATAGATGATTCTTCTCCACTGTGGGCTGTCTTTAAAAAATGATCTAAAGCAGGGGTCATTTGGGGGGGGACGCGGGGGGACGCCATCCCCCCGGGTGAGGTGCGGGAGGGTGGGGCCTGGAGCTCCCTGCTGGTGCCCGCTGGAGGTCGCCGCCGGCTGTGGGGAGGACACACTTCCGGTGATGTCAGGGGGTGTGGCATATGCTAATGAGTTATGCTAATGAGTCCCCCTAGCTCTTTTTCTACGAAATGACCCCTGATCTAAAGAAAGAAATATGGCAAATGACAAAGTCCAGCCAGAGTGCTACATTCATCCAAGTTGATCAGAGTGGTGTACATTTGGCTCCCAGATGATTCCATCTAGTCACTGCCGAAAGCCAGACCCTCAGCTGTGGTTGAACTATTGCATGATTCTTCATTCCATCACCCATTTGAGCTTATAAAAGTACCCTGTGGTTTCAACTGAGAATTAGCTATCCTGTTCTGATTCTCTAAAGTAGTGCAAACAGTTTGGGTTTTTTCCCCTTTTTATATATTTGAAATATTTTGCCTTGCAGCCTCAAAGACTATGGCTACAGAGAAATGGACCAATTAACTTTAACCATTATGCAAATAAGAAGAGTGCGGCTGAGAGTATGTTGGACATTGCTTTGCTCATGGCCAATGCATCCCAGCTCAAAGCAGTGATGGAACAAGGACCTTCCTTTTCATTCTATGTTCCTCTTATTGTCCTCATCAGCATCTCACTCACACTGCAGATTGGAGTCGGCGTGCTTCTGATATTCCTTGGTATGTACAGGGACAAGAACTATTTATTTTTTCTCATCCTTAATGCCTCTATGGTGTTGCTATTTCTAAGTTTTAAAAAGGCATGTCAGTTATTGTTTTTTACAGCTAGCTTCCTTTCTAAAGCACTGGTTCTTTCTGAAGATAACTATTTTTGAATGTCTTCTAAAAATAGTGAAAAATAAACAGAGTTATATTCAGAAGTCTGGTGATAAGCCATATTCCAATACAATTGTAAAGGCAATATAACACTCCAATTTTTGATGGCAGCATCCTATCTTACTAATCTTAAGACACAAACAGTGCATGGTATGAAAGTTATTCTACAGCATACCATATTCTCTCTCTCTCTTTCTCCCTCTGTGTGTGTGTGGTGTGTGTTTTTAAAAAGTGGGTGTCATTTTGTTGGACTAATACTGGCTTATGTGTTTGCTCAGTTTACTGCTAGGATCACCAGTACCTGATTATGATCCCATAAAATGAAGGGTACCATTCAGGGAGAACAGGGAGGGCTGTCGCTTTCTCTTCTTGGTATAATTGTTCATCAATCTCTCTGGTGTAATTAGTGGGTTTTACCGAGAGTTCTGAAATGCAGCAAGTTCCTCTCATGCATAAAACTAGCTTTCTTTGGTGCCTCCAGTAACCCTTACTGTGAAAAGAGGATGATTAGCAAGTTTGAGTCAGATTGAGGTGACGAGAGAGGAGGTCCTAAAACTGATAAACAACTTAAAAACTGATAAATCACCAGGCCCTGATGGCATACATCCGAGAGTTCTGAAATGCAGCAAGTTCCTCTCATGCATAAAACTAGCTTTCTTTGGTGCCTCCAGTAACCCTTACTGTGAAAAGAGGATGATTAGCAAGTTTGCAGCAAGCCATTTTTTAAAAGAAATTCCAAGACAGTGGATCAATTAGCCATTATAGAACAGACTATTCTAACAAGGAGTTTTGAACTGTGAACCATGCAGTGAACTCTGTATGTGAAGTGCTTTTCTTTTAAACAGTAACCCTACATGTTGCTTGACAAGGTGCATATGAAGCTTTGTGCACTTTTAAAAGCATTTGTCATACAGCACAGAGCTCTTTGAAACAACAGTAATAAGCAGATGGTCCACTGCTTGAAGGGGTTCTAGAATGGTGGACATAATCAAAACGTTTGATAACAATAACAGGTTGTAGTAATTTCATAGACATTGGGGTGGATCCTATCCCTAGTCTACCAGTCCACTGAGCAATATTTATTTATTTTCTTATTAAAATATTTATACTTTTTCTTTTTGGCTCAAGTTTGAAGCTTTCCTTCAGTTAAGTGGCTCTTCCATTGGATGAAAAGCCACTTAAGTTGGAGGAAGGCTACCTGGAAGATGGTTTTTGCTCATATAGTAAATCACCCCACCCCAGTTTTTGCTCGTATAGTAAATTACTTCCATTTGAACATACATAGCTGTCATGTTGAGTCAAACTGCCTCAGCTGGCAGCATCTCTGTGGGACTCAGAGATAGAAACCTTTATGGAACTAGAATGCATTAAACTTGCAAGTTTTTGTGTGCAAAGCATGTGGTCTACTACTCTCCTATGATCATTCCAGTAGTAATAACAATAAACTATGAGGAAAGTTTCCTAGATCTGAGGGCTGTTTTAAAGTTCATGTGGTCAGCTTAACAATTCTGTGATCAAGCATGTCAGTAGCTACATCTGTGGTCATCTGTAGTGAATGAGAATTGCACTCAGGTGACTGAGCAACTGAGGTAAATATGGCTGAAATATTTTTGTTTCCTTTTAAAGCCACAAATGACTAGCATGAGCATGTGTCAGCCGGAAGACTGGTTTGAAAAAACTGTATTTTTTTAACTTTGGTTGGCTAACTAGCAAGGCTGCTGAACACTAATGGGCATATTTACTTATAGAAGGAATTAAAGAAATTAAAGATATTTTTTCCTGAAGCTGTGCACTTCTATGATTTATGTTTTGACAAAGAGCTACTCAAATATTGTGAATTTGTGAGTTTTGTTTCTAAGCAGCAATGTGTAACTCAGGAAGAATATTGAAACTGTACTTTTAAAACCCAGAATATATAGTCTGAATTTTCAACTACACTAAAGTAAACATGCTGAATATTTAACTACTCTGCCATTTTCTAAATATATAATTTCCTTCTAAGTTGCAGCACAAATATCTCTTCCTGGGAAAGTGAACTAAACAATTCTAAAACCTGTCATCTGAGGTTTATAAAAAGATAGCTATAAACCTAGGACATGGAACAGATAACTCCAGGGTGTGCATACCAAATGCCCAGAATACCCTGTTATAAAAAGGATTAATTAAAAATATCCCAAGCTGTCTTCCCCAGCATGTCACCATGTCTTGTTCTGCCCTAAGAAACAGAACATGGATGAGGAAGAGCACCAGAAATGTAGCTGTCAGCTAACCTGCACAGAGAAGAATCCTATGAAATAAAAGCTTTTAAAAAAACTAGTGCAGATGTTTTTTCCTAGGTCCTTTGCTATCTTTTCCTTCTCTCTACAGTTCGTCCACTCCTAAACACAGTGCTTAAAATGTAGCCTCCCTTTTAATTAGATTATCTGCTGACAACACTGTTTATCCATTCAGACATACTGAGGAACTTCATGCAAATAGCAATAGTGCCAATTGGGATTTGGTGTCAGAAGCTCTTGCTTTTGCCAGGAAAAGGTGCTGCATTTGTCATCTTTAGAGGCACTAAACTGTCACAAGCACTCTTTCATCTAGCTATAGAAGAGAAGGTTGAGAGTAGGGATCTGAAGACATTGGCATGGTAATGTTCCTATATTGTTGATACTGGAAAGTCTCACTTTCACCTCATTGGAAAGGCAACCAAAACAGTTTTACTTGTCTAGATGATCAGACACTATTTCTCTTACACTGTGATACTGAAAATCTTTCAGGACACACGTATAGCTCTTGTTGCTTTGCAAGAAGGCAAAAGGGGGCCTGCCTGTAAAACTTAGTCCAGAATAGGAAGGAAGGAAGGAAGTGGTCAGAACAGCTCCTTGTATCCTTTTTTTTTTTTGGTCTTAGCTTCGTGTTATGCAGATACCAAACCCACACTCCTGCTTCAGTTTGGTTAATCTGTGAAGGACAAGAGGGGGTTAAATCCTTCAGCACTCTGTCCTCTATTGCTGTGCTGAGTTGGCAGCTTATTCAAACCCTCATTGACTTCCTTTGTTTCCTGCCAAACTGAAGAGTGGGCTAAACTAACTATTAGCCTGTCTTAAAGGGCAGGACTTCCAGTCCAAATTACAATAAAAAAAACAATAAAAAGGTTCCCATTGAAGTTGTAAGTCTGTGGAAGGTAGTAGGGTTTCTCTTTGGTGACATTAATCTTGGAAGACCTATATTAATACAGCCTTTTCCTTTTTTTTAATTTAAGGGAATAAATTGAAATAGATCAGGCTACACAAATTACAGTAGGTCTGAGAAGGTATAAAAGAATGCTTAACTATACCTGTACTTAACAATGGTTTCAAATTCTAACTCTATTATATGGGGGTATAATAATGGACTAGGATTACTGCAATTTCATTTGAAAGCTACAAACCTAGCTTTGTCAGTAGACAAAGCTGTATATTAGCACCTTCCACGCCTCCAGTCTTGATGAATCATCACATGTCAACTCTACAACTAGATCGCTTTTGAATACATAAATGAGAGTTACACACTATGCCTTTTACTGCATTCTTCCCTACCAGAAACCTGCCTTGTGGAGAAATAAAGACTCTAATGCTCTAATCTAATAGCTGTGCCAGGTCTTGCAAATTGGTGTCTGTCATACTGGCCACAATACGATTTCCATTTCTTGGAAATATGCAGCTTGCTTTCATTTTCTAGTTGCTGTGGCTTCAGAGAAAAAAGGAATGGTATGCTGGTGGCTAGGATCCAAACCATGTGGCTGGTTTCCACACGCTCAAATGAACTTTGAACAGACATTTACCAGAGATCAGCCCTCTACATAACATAGCAAACTGCTCTTGAAACTCAGCAGAGTTTCCCAAAGCAGTGAGTGGCATGGCATGGGAGTGTGCTAGTCAAAGGACCAGGTTAAAAAATCCTACTGGGACCTCCCCAAACCTGCCTAGTACAGTTCTATGTATTCTCAACCATGTTTACTGCAAACATTTACTTTAGAAGTCTAAACACTAATATTCAACATTTTTTCAAACCCTTTATATTACTTCTCATATTACTGTCTGACCAAATTTTAAAAGCAGTATTTCTGAAGCCTACTGGATCTGTGCAGTAGTAGTAGACAACCTTTGGTCTCTACTGATGTGGAATATCCCCCCCCACACACACACACACAAAAGTATGCATATTTAATATACGTTTTTTAAAAATGACCTGATGTGGCCTCCAACTTCTTTCATCCTTCTCCCTTTGGCAATTCAGGCAAAGTGAACATGCAAGCTAGCAAACAGGAATGGTGTTTACACAGCTGAAGCTCTCAATAATACTGAGCATCTTGAAAGCCTTTGATATATCATGTCTCATTGAACAGATGTAGCACTCCCTCTTTGTAAAACTAAGGCAGTAGGAGTGACCATCAGTGAGCAGACTTAGGTGCGTAGTTGTGTTGGTCTGAAGCAGCAGAACAAAGTTTGAGTCCAGTGGCACCTTTAAGACCAACAAAGTTTTATTCAAGGTATAAGCTTTTGTGTGCATGCACATGCCTTTGGATACATAATTGTAAATGGAAGAAATTGGAGCAGACTTGTAATTGGAGGAAACTTAACTGGATAAAGTAAAGAAATGACAAAATAGCATGTACACATATGAAAACCCTGTAAACATTAGATGTTACAGAATCATTTGAATGCCTGCTTCTAAGAGATTATTTCCTCATTAAAAAATTGTTCTAAAGAACATTTCTGCCTCCTTTAATAAAACTAGTAATGTTACAGGTTTGTTAAGATAGCCAGAGAAAAACATCCAAGATGACATTTTAAATCCAGAAATACACTCCACATTTCTGACACTGGCATTCTATTCTTTTCCTGAAATAATTGTTACATGAATTTAATAAAACTTTTCCTATGTGGATTAATGTTCTCCAGTGGTTAATGTTCTCTCACTGTTTTTCACTTGCAGTAAAATACGACCTTAATAACCCTGCAAAACATGCCAAGCTGGACTTCCTCAATAACCTTGCAACTGGACTGGTGTTCATTATAGTGGTTGTGAATATTTTTATCACTGCTTTTGGAGTGCAGAAGCCCTCAACCTCAAAAGCATAGTAATGCCAAGGTGAGTTACAATCCATCCAATAATCCCCAGAAATCATTAACAACATGGATGTACAGTAGCACCAAAATTTAGAAAATCCAGAATTTCCAAATATATGGAATGTCATTAAAATCATTAGGAATAGCCAAGTTCCACTTTTAAAAACACACACAAAGGCAAATCTCTAAAAAGTCTCCTTCAGCTCTCTGAACAAGGTCTCCTTCAGCCCTCTGACCCTTTCCTAGTGCCTATGCCAGCCTCAAATATTTGAGAAGATGTGGCAAGTGCATATGGCAACAGCCACTATTGCCAGGCAGTAGTGCCAGGCATTAGAAAATAACCGAAATCTGGGCATAAGCAGTACACATGCTACCAGTGCAGCCCTGAGCATGGCTCAATGGAGCAGAGGACAGCTGGTGCTGGGGAGAGGGCAAACACAATGGGTAGCACTGACAGGCTGACTGCAGCAGCAGACAGACAGAGTTGGCCAGATAAAAGCTACCCCAAGAGCACTGGCCACAGCACAGCTGAGTGAGTGAGCAAGCACAGTCCTGGGCTGCAGTCAGACATGCATTTTAATCCACTGTTGCCCCGCCTCTAATTGATCCAGAGTGTTTTGTAACAGAATACTGATCAGACTCGCCCCTTTTAGCATGCTTCAAAGTGCTTTTACCCCGTTCTTGAGTGATCAGATGCATATCAGACCTGGCAGCCAAGGAGTGTTGCCGTCGGCCATTTTTAAAAATAGTTTCTCCCTTGAGCATGCCCACAAGCGCTGCTATGCTTCCTGGAATATGTAGTTCATGGGGCCATTGGCCATTTTTGTAAAAGTGTGTCCTCTGGGCATGTGCACAAGTGCTGATCAGCCTGCTGGGACATGTAGTCTTCCCCTCTAAACTTTTCAATTTACCCCTTCCCCAAAGCACAGGAAAAAGCTGAAATACAGAGGCATTTTTATTTGAAAGTTTTTATGGAGAAAACAAAGTTTAGAGCAGCCCCTGTGGGAGAGGGGGAGAGAGAGAGGTGTGAATATGCAGTTATGTGCAGTTCATTAACTAGTAAAAAAATGGTGGCTGAAAAACAAGAGACCATTCATACCTGCCTGACGGCTTGGGTGCGCAACAGAGTGATCAGACAAAGGGAAATCCAGTTTGAAAGAAGCTCAGTCCAAAAGGACCGGACTTTCACAAAGTATCAAAGAAACACGCAGTAAAAGGGTGGAGTGGAACAGGACACAGACGATTGTGCATTCTAAATCTAAAGGGAACAGCAATGGCAATAGATCAAACTGCATGTCTGATCACAGCCCTGGAGTAGCAACTGGAAGAAGGGAAGAGACAGCAGGCGGCGGCAGCAGGTTGAAGCATGGCATACCCTGTTCTGTGGACTAGATTGTGCCATTCTCATACTCAACGGCCTCTCAGGGAAGCCCAGTAGTATTCAGTTTTCCATATACAGCAGCTTTCTTTACCATGCCCATGTTTCATACTGCTGGCATTTTCTCCCCCAAAAATCAACAGCATTTGATTCTGTTGCAACAGAACACAGACAGCCCCCCCTTTAAAAAAAGTGAAAATCACATATGCATAGACAAAGTCTAAATCTTTCTATCCATATTCAATCAATCAAATTTTATCCTTATGCTTGTTGTATACTAAAAGGAGCCTAAACATTATATAACATTTCCCTATTAATCTACAACCTAGTTTATCTGTTTTATGTCTAGTACACCTTAAGGGATAAACAAAGAATCTTTCTATCCTTTTTTATCCTGACTTTCTCATGTGAGCACAGTGTGGCATACCTGAGGTAGACCAGGATAAGATAATGTAATTAGCTCAAGTTCAATCAGTGAGTTTTATGGCAAAGCAGTGATTTGAATCTGGATTTCTTAGGTCCTGCTCCTAAATACTACACCAGACTGGCTCTTTTAATTTTCTGCTGTTTTCCATCCTTCCTCTCTCTCTTTTTTTTTTGTGGGGGGGACCCTTAAACAACCAAGAAAATGGCTTGGTAACCAGTGGGAGGCCTGAGGGGCACCTCCGTTGGTGACAGCATGACATCATGACATCACTCATGAGAAAAATCCTGAAGTGACATCACACATCTTTGGGAATTACTGCAAACTCCATGGTAAAACCAGAGAGCTTGTGGTGTTTCCTAGAATGGACTGAAGTCACTTCTGGGTTTTCCCTGGAAGTGACATTGTACTGTCAGCCCAGCAGCCATTTTTTTATTACCTGCCTGACGGCTTGGGTGCGCAACAGAGTGATCAGACAAAGGGAAATCCAGTTTGAAAGAAGCTCAGTCCAAAAGGACCGGACTTTCACAGGTATCAAAGAAACACGCAGTAAAAGGGTGGAGTGGAACAGGACACAGACGATTGTGCATTCTAAATCTAAAGGGAACAGCAACGGCAATAGATCAAACTGCATGTCTGAGCACAGCCGTGGAGTAGCAACTGGAAGAAGGGAAGAGACAGCAGGCGGCGGCAGCAGGTTGAAGCATGGCATACCCTGTTCTGTGGACTAGATTGTGCCATTCTCATACTCAACGGCCTCTCAGGGAAGCCCAGTAGCATTCAGTTTTCCATATACAGCAGCTTTCTTTGCCATGCCCATGTTTCATACTGCTGGCATTTTCTCCCCCCAAAATCAACAGCATTTGATTCTGTTGCAACAGAACACAGACAGCCCCCCTTTTAAAAAAAGTGAAGATCACATATGCATAGACAAAGTCTATTATCTAAATCTTTCTATCCATATTCAATCAATCAAATTTTATCCTTATGCTTGTTGTGTACTAAAAGGAGCCTAAACATTATATAACAATTCCCTATTAATCTACAACCTAGTTTATCTGTTTTATGTCTAATACACATTAAGGGATAAACAAGGAATCTTTCTATCCTTTTTTATCCTGACTTTCTCATGTGAGCACAGTGTGGCATACCTGAGGTAGACCAGGATAAGATAATGTAATTAGCTCAAGTTCAATCAGTGAGTTTTATGGCAAAGCAGTGATTTGAATCTGGATTTCTTAGGTCCTGCTCCTAAATACTACACCAGACTGGCTCTTTTAATTTTCTGCTGTTTTCCATCCTTCCTCTCTCTCTTTTTTTTTTGTGGGGGGGACCCTTAAACAACCAAGAAAATGGCTTGGTAACCAGTGGGAGGCCTGAGGGGCACCTCCGTTGGTGACAGCATGACATCATGACATCACTCATGAGAAAAATCCTGAAGTGACATCACACATCTTTGGGAATTACTGCAAACTCCATGGTAAAACCAGAGAGCTTGTGGTGTTTCCTAGAATGGACTGAAGTCACTTCTGGGTTTTCCCTGGAAGTGACATTGTACTGTCAGCCCAGCAGCCATTTTTTTATTTTTTCCCCAGTGCCTATCTGTGTGGTGATGGGAAATGGGAAGTGGGGGCGGGAGCTTATCAGCCCCAAGGCAATCTGAGGTCAGGACATGGCCATTTGGTATAATGCCCTTCTTATCCTACTATTTGACATGCTGCATAGAATGACAAGAAACCTGAAGGTCATTTTTCTGGGACTTCATAGAAAAGATACTTAACACAGTATTTTAAATGTTCCTCCCTCCACCCCTGATATGTTGAAATTTTGAACTCTGCAGGTAATTTCTGCACATGGACTGTTTTCTTTTGGATGCAAAGCATGAAGATACTGAAGCCATCCAAATACGCCTTTTTATGCAACTTTCCATTGAGCTGTTCTGCCAGAAAGATCATTCTGAAGTCTCTTAAATAAGATGATCATCTGCTGTCACTGGGAAAACTAAGTTAAAAACCATAGTAAGGGTTTGTATTCAGGGGACTAGCATCAACATGTCTACTTTACCTTGTTAGCATTGCATCAGAACACACTGCTCTCCAGGTCCTGTTATTCCCACGAGTCCACAGGCACTCCTCACTCTCTGTGCCTTCTTGAAAGATGCTGAGCAGGGGAAAAAGTAACTTCTACACACAAAATAGCAACAGAGTACAGGGAAATTGTCTTCATACAGGTATGGAAAGGCTCACCTGCACTAATGTGAAAACAACATTGTCTAGCAAGGATCTCAGATGTCTGTGGTCAGTGTTTTATGTCATTTAAGTAGATTATGTACATAAATTTTCTTTTTTTTTACATAATTCTCAGTACATAATATGCCTCATCATGGAATTTGAAGGGCTCTCATTTTGCAAAGGCCATCACTACTAATGATAGGATGTTTTGAAGGTCATTTATTGATAGGGTTGCCATAAGTTGGAAACGACTTGACAGTCCGTAACATACACACAAGGTGCTTGTAAAATTTATGTTCTGAAAAGTCCACTATACCTCATACTTCTTCTTGTAAAGAATTAGTTTAGCTCTCAAAATCCAAGTGAACCAAAGAGACCAGGGGCCTCCCTTTTTGTCTTGGAAACAGCCTTTTATTTCTTTCGCAATATCAGTAGATATATTTATTCCTGTGTAGGAAATATTCCACTCTTATCTGTGAGCCTCAGTGTAGCTAACAGCCCTTTGAATAGCCAATGCTCCTTAAAGGACTCCCAATAAAAACAGATTGGGTAAGTATAGAAGATGAGTGATCAAAAAACAATGGGAAGAAAAACTGAATAAAACACTGTTCGTAAACAGATACACACACACGTCATGTGTGAAAGAGCCACTCACTCTCATATAATATACAATCCTTCCTCTTATGGGTCATACATTACATGGATGGAATTTTAACTTACAAAGAAGGTAGGGCCTCAGACAATACGTGGCCTCTTCTTTCAGTCTACCATAATCCAGATTAGAACAATATTCAACAGGAACAATATTGAGGGTTGCAAGTTCTGGGTTGGGAAATACCTGGAAAGCTTGGGGGCGGTAACTGGGGAGGGCAGAGTTTGGGGGAGGGGAGGGACCTCAGCTAGATATAATACCATAGAGTGCACTCTCCAAAGCAGCCATTTTCTCTAGGGGAACTGATCTGGGTTTTCTGGAGATGATCAATTGTAATTCTGGGAGATCTCCAGCCACCTCCTGGAGGATGACAACCTTAGCAAAACAAGAAACGTGTGCGGAGCTAAAAACCCTTTGTAGTAGTGTTTATATGTGTATGTATGAGCGAGATAGATATAGATTAAAATAATTTTATACTTCATTTTCTGAATAATTATATTGTTTTCTATTAACCTAACAAAGGAAAACATAAAAGAAGAGCTCAGGATAGTAATAACTAAGTAGGCTGGGCCTGTCTGAGCCGTAATTGAATTCCATCCCTGGGAAAGTTTCCCCTTTAGCTGGCATTATTTCTTGCTTGTCGTACCTGTACCCCCAATTGGTCCCTTTCATAGAGAGCCTTACAGGTTTGTTTAGTAAAGGTATTTTCCATTTCCAGGGTTAAATTGGATGCTTTTTATTTATTAACTCAGGCTTCTTTTTGATTTCCCAGTGATTTGCTTGATATGTCTCCATTTAGATGGATAGCATCCATCACTGCTCTGCAAAGTTCATGGTGCATTTGCTGTAGGCTACAAAGGTAACAAGGCAATAGAGAATCCAGGAATGCACTTTTTAGAACTTTTATAACCCGTATTTATATGACATTGTGCCTACATTCACGTAGACGTAGAGCATCTGTGCCTCTGTGCATACTGAAGATCTCAGGTTCAGTTCTTACATCTCCTATATAAAAATATCAGGTATTAGATGATGTGAAAGATCTCTACCTGATATGTTGGGAGAATTGTTGTCAGCCAGAGTAGACAATACTGATCCCAATAGACCAATAGTCTGACTCAGTACATGGCAGCCTCATTTCATGTGTATAGTTCTATTCAGCTGTAAACATACATTAAAAATCCCATAGTGTGTTTGTACTACTATGTTGTTTGATGCTGCACCCCCTAACAAACAAACAAGGAAGCAACTTGTGATCACTGAAGCTGTACTTTCAAACTTTTAGCAAGGGCCTTCAAACAGGAAAGCCAGTGGCTACAGCTAGAGATGTAAAATTTCAAGTTGGAAGCAGTGAGGGGGGGAAAGCTTTCTCATGGCTTTTTCCAGGAAAAAAGGACATTTTGGGAAAATTGAAATATATGCAATACTTATATCCCTATCAAAGTGACCTGTGTATCCCAGGCTAGCCCAGTCTTGTCAGACTTGGAAGCTAAGCAGGATTGGCCGACCACACCACCACAGCATACCAGGGTCTAACCAATAGCAGGCCATGACAAGCCACCTCGGAACATCTGTTGCCTTGAAAACCCTACATGGTTGCCTTAAGTCGGCTGTGACTTGATGGCACTTTCCGCCATCACCACCATCAAATTCAAACATTTTACTGGTTTAATAACTTAAAATGCTTCATTTACAACAGCTTATGAAATTGTACAATTTGGCCTATTTATGAAATTTAAAAGTATAAATGTGTTGGTTTTCAATAAGAGAAATTGCACATGAACCCAGTACTTCAGAAGGAGTTGCAAACTGTTGGACTGTATGCTACCTTGGCACATGTCCTAATTTTTGTCATCTGAGGTATAGAAAAAAAATGAAAGTTGACTTAGAAAACAAATTCTATAGTATACCAAAAAAGTATGTTATTTGAACAGAAATGCTCTCAGACTGTCACAGCAGGTGAGACTACCAGCATAGTTGTATATCAAGTTGAATTTGATAACACTGAAAATACTAATAATGTAATTAAACACATAATTGTTGCCAGAATTATTTGCATTAAAACCATAAATATATTTTAAAATATGTTGTATATGTCTACAGTATACAGAATTATCATTATCCCATGTTATAGACTGTCTTAAAAAGCATTTCACTTATTCCAAAAGAGAAAAAATAGTTTTTTTCCCTATGTTCCCAACAATTTCAATCAGAAAAATGGAAAACAGTCCTCAAAAATTTTCATGTCATACATTTTGAGTGAAAAAGCTTGTCTTAAAAAGTAGTGCACTCATTCCAAAAAAAGGAAACATTTCATAGTAGGGTGTTTTTTTTTAGTGGTTCATAAAATTTCCAAATTTTTCGCATCTCTAGGTACAATCCACAGTGCAGTTACACATACACATAAAATGGGTTTAAAGGGCATTTAAATTTGTTTTGGATTATGGACACTTTTCTAGTGCAATTTCTTTGCATTTGCATTAAATGGGTAACTTGGCATGGAAAATAATAATTTTTAGAGGAGAATGTTTAGATGAACACTGCTGCATCTGGAGGTATGGATTATCACTGGCAAATGTACATATCAAAAATACTTCCTTTAAGAAAATATTTCAGACATTTTATTTCTAATTTATTCTGTTTTAATTTGCTTATAACTTTAATATATCCTTTTCTATTTTCATTTTAAAACATATTAAGTTTAACATATACATAGCACATTGTGGCAATTTTACTTGCATTTTCATTTACCATCTGTGTTAAATTCTCTCACTGATTATAAGAATAACAAATGTGTAAGAACAAAATAGTAGAACTTCTGTTTTGCTAGTAAATAGAGACTGCGCATAGAAGAATCTTAACATAAGGATGTGTTATTTCAGTGGGAAATTGTTGGAATGTTTTTGGAACTAGTTTTTATTACTGGTAAAAATAATGTTCTCCACGATTGTGAAAAAGAAACTGTCTTGTAATCTTGAACACATGTAAATACTGCTCAAAAGAGCAGAAGAAAACTTTGGTTTATAGCTATTGTACTTTCTCAGTAATTACACCTGCTGAAAGAATGTAGCATTTCACTTTTCATTCACCTAGGTTCCTAGAAACATAGAACTTGAAGGGACCCCAAGAGTTATCTAGTCCAACCCCTGCACGATGCAGGAAATTCACAGCTACCCTTCCATCCCACCCCCCGTGACCCCTGCTCTATGTTCAGAGGAAGACAAAAAACTTCCAGGATCTGTGAGCCAATATGGCCTTGGAGGAAAAACTCTGTAATGTCACAGTGGGCTTTTCGATAAAACCAGGTTTCTGATCTGCAGGTAAGGATTTCCAAGAATAAAAACATTAAATTCACTACACATTTTAAAAAGCTTTTTTAAATTATGATATAAAATTTAATGAAATTAACAGTATCATCATGAACAGAGTTACCCCTTTTTAAATTCATTGAAGTCCATGAGTTTAGAAGGGTATGACTCCTCTTAAATTGACTCTGTAGTCCTGTGGATTTAAGTATGGGTTGGGTTAAATCAGGAAATACATGTACTTGACCCTTGGGGCTTTGGTCAATGCAGTGATTTTCATCCTATAGGCTGGGTCCCTCAGGTTTACAGAACCACATCTTCTGGGTCATAGCCACCCTTTTTGCTGCCTTTTGGAAGAACCTGCTGCTAATAAGCATGCTTAGAGAGAGGAAACAAATTATGTCCATTTTGTATGGGAGAATGGACAAATTATGTCCGTTCTGTATGGAAGAGTAGTTGGTTTTTATTCCCCGCTTTTCTCTACCTTAAGGAGTCTTATAGTGGCTTAAAATTGCCTTCCCCTACTCTCCCTGCAACAGTCATCTTGTGAGGTAGGTGGGGCTGAGAGAGTTCTGAGAGAACTGTGACTGGCCCAAGGATACCCAGCAGGCTTCACGTGCAGTAGCAGGGAATGAAACCAGGTTCTCCAGATTAGAGTCCCCCATTCTTAACCACTGCACCACGCTGGTGTGAATGCAGGTCAGATCTTTGCATGCATAAGAGTATTGTTTTCTTAGCACCGGGTTGTATTTGATGAAGGGAGCTTTGACCCTAAAATCTTGTTAGACTCTAAGGTGCTACTGGAGTAGACTCTAGTTTAGCACTAAGAAATTTCTGACAAAATGGCATTTATTTAATAAAAAGCATTTTCCTCAGGAAAGGTGTCTGGCTCCATCACTTCCAACTAACAACTATATATTTAAGTTCTATAAACCAGTGGTCTGAAGAGAACTCCTAGCCCTTTGAGGACTAGACCCATATGTTTGAGTGCCTCCTCAAAAAGCCCTACTAGTTATCAATTGCTGGAGACTATATCTGAAATTGTTCTGATCGTTACTCAGGTTGGAATTCTTATTTTTGTGGGCATTGTATTGTATTTTTATTATGAAAATGAAATGCCCTTCCATTGATAAATAAAATTTCTTTTGTTATTTGTCCTTTCCTTTTCCTCTGATCCTCTTATCAATAGCTCTTGAGCAATGACTAAAAGAGTATTCAATTAGTTTCAGGTGCTTCTGGTTTTCGGCATCCTAACGATGGCCATGGCTTCTTGGAGCTCCGAGAGACACGTGCCATGAACCAGTGGATGGGAGGGGGTGCGATCGTCCGCATCCCCCCCGGAGCCCTGGTGTTAGGATCCTAGCCATGGGGCGTTTGGAGAGCCCTTCCTCTGGCAACCGGCTGGCGAAGGGGGGCTACTCCCTGCCCCGACAGTCCTGCCACTGAGTTCCCAGCATTGAACTCAGGGTCGCACACCAGGACAAGTGTTTGGAGGTTTAGCATTACCTGTATTTTATGGCGAGATCCCTGCGGCGACGCCGAGATGGACATTGAATCATGAGTTTGATTAAAGTGAAGACAGCAGAAAAGCGCCTGAAGCCCCCCTCCCGAGAAAGAGAGAGGGGAGCGGAAACTCTCCCCCCTTATAAAATCCACCTATGGTCCACAAATAACCTTCTTTGATTGTGTTGCCACAATATTCACAAGTAAAAAGCAGTGGGATCAAGCGATCAAGCAAACACTCAGGACTTGAGCAAAAAAATTAAAAAGTAAACAACCCTAAAAATGGCAATTGAAAGTGGAATGGGGTCTTAGCCTTCTTCAGGAACTGTGTGTTTGGTCGTTTAGGTCATATGACCGGAAATAATGAACGAGAGTATTCAATTAGTTTCT